ACACAGCCTCGACCAGGTCTGAAACCGGCCTGGTTCTTACGCGTACACCGTTCACGTGCGGTAGACAATCGACGGAGTATGATACCAGCGAGAAGTTTAGATACAATGTAGTTTAAACTAATTCCTCTGTGTTTTTCACAGGAGGATCTGTCACCTTTCGTGTAAATCGTTATGATTACCGATTCATACCATTCAGCTGGAACCTGTTCCCTCTCCCACACTGAGCCCAGAAGTTTTGTTGACTCCAAAACTGAGGTTGGACCTCCATCTTTAAAAAGGGACGGGGACATTTCGCCTGTTCGCCGAGCTACGAGAACCAATTTTCAACATTTTATCAACGGATGGGGACAGCCCGTCTGGGCCGGAAGCCTTATACCTTTTGAGATAGCTTATTTCTCGGGTAAATTCCATTTCAGAGGGAGGACTGATGTTAACTGGCAATATTTGCACAGCTGAATCGGGTGGGGGAGGTCTTGTGTCGAAGCGGACCAGCTAAACTCTACCTTAAAATGTTCTGCCCAACGTTCAAGATGACGTTCCTGAATTTGAATTAGTGTGCCGTCAGACTCCTTAATTACTTCTCTTACGTCTGCTTTCCTTAGTCCTGTACTCTTAATTAAACGAAAAAGATTGCGACTATTACTGATAGCCTCAGCCTTCTCCATCTCTCTGCACTTCACTATCTACCACTTCTCACGGTCATTCCTCAGACTCTTGATAGGCTGGCGTTTAAGGGATTTGCGCGCTTTGTCGTATTTTGCATCCGAAGGAATGGCCTTGCCAGCGTCCAGTAAGGCAACCGAGGTCGGGGAGATCCATTTTCTATTTGATCGTGCGCCAGAATTCGCCGTTGTTTTGATCGACGTTTAGATCGCTTCCTTGATTGTTGTCCAGTGCTCACTGAGTTCTCCGACTGATGGTTGAGCTGAGAGGCGATCTGATACTTCCGCTTCGAAGGCCGATTCGCAATCATTACTGATACTGTATTGTGGGCATCCGTTTTCGGCGGCTTTTCTGCGCTTGTTTATCAGGCGTAGGGAGAATCTCGCTCGTAGCAGAGCATAGTCCGTGTCCACGGGTGTTGACCAGTAGGAGTGGTAGTCTTT